TCTATGATTTTTAATTTTATCTCTCATATCAAGTTTTATGCTTTTGTTTTTTCAATAGGAGCAATACTAATTTTGATGTGGCTCCTTTTCTTCTATTTTTTTTTTGTCTTTTTGTCAAAAAAAAATTATGGTCTTTCATTTTATCCTTTAAATCAAATTTATGTTTTTTGTTATTTCAACAACAACAACAATAATAATGGTACATCATTTTAAATTATAATTTAGGACAATAAATTCTAAGAAATTCTAAATTACATTCTAATAAATTCTAAACGAATATAAATTTGAATTTTATTCAAATGAAATGGAATAAAATCCAATATATAAAATATATTATTTAAATTAAATGTTTTATATCAATTTAAATGTATTAGATGTAGTATATTAATCAAATATAATTGGTAACTAAATGTAGAATATATGTCATAGCTATTCACATATAGAAGCAATATTAAGACAAAAAAAAAATGGATGCAGTTGAATGGTAAAATTTTATTTTGCCAGGAAACAAATACAACAATCATAGTAATGATAGTAATAGTAGTGGTTATGACAACAATAATAATAACAGTAGTAGTAGTGGTAGTAATAATGATGATGATGATATATATATATATATATATATATATATATATATATTAATAATAGTAGCACTAGTTGTAATAATACCACTAATAATAATAATAGTCCTCAAATCAAGTTTATATTTTTGGTTATTTTAACAACAATAGTAATAGTAACAATAACAATAATAACAATAATTATAGTAATGCTACTAATAATATTACTAACAATGGTATTGTTGTTGCTGCTATTACTATTACTATCATTAATAATAGTGATAATCGAAGTAGTAATAGTGATGATAATAATAATAAATATATTACTAATAATAATAGTGACGGCGATGACCATGGTCATGTGACAATGATAATGATAATGATGATGATGATGATGATGATAATGACAATACAACAATAATGTTGATATTAATAGTGACAATAATAAAAAAAATTGATAAAAAAACAACTAAAAATGATGATGATACCAATAATAATAATAAAAAACTGATAAAAAACAACTAAAAAGGAAAGAGGTTTCCTGTAGCTTTAAAAATAATTAACTATTCATTATAATGGTCAAGTGATGTCGATGACCTTAAAAAAATAGTCTACTCAGAGCCACGAGTGTTTTTATAATTTCACATTGTTTGCTTATTATTATAGATTTGGTTAGGGGTATTTTTGTTCATTCAATATTTTTAATAACAATAAAATAACAAAAATTCCTTATAGAATAAAAGAATTATCATAGCAGAGATAATGGTATTTTAGTATTTTTATTTTTTTAATAAATAATCAAATTAAACATGAGCCCTTGAATCCAAGAAATGTAGGTAGCTAGAGTAAAGAGTGTTAGGGTCATTTAACCTAGGTTTTTTTAGTTGTTAATTGTATGTTTGATTGAGGGTTATAATGTGATTTAATAATTCAATAATATTTTTAAATTTGAAGAAAATGCTGGGATTTTGGGCTCGGGTGGCCAAAAATAGGCTTCCGCCTTATAATTTGATTCATCATTGTCTCCTCTTTTATTATGGATAACGTGCATTGTTAAAAAATAATCAACATTGCCTTAGCCTTAATTAGTATTGTTAAACAGTTATCATGATTTTTTTATGTATTTTTTAACCTCATTTCAGTACTTAAACATTATTTTTGTATAAAAAAGTAATTTGGCCTAACAACAAAATTCGTATATCAAGGCCAATAAAAAACACTAAAAGATATGGGGTTTTCATTGTAGTAATCTAGAATGAAACCCCTACCTTGCTCCCTATTTACACAAAACAAGAGGCAAGGTATTATGGTCTTTATATAGGGACACCTATGTTTTTCTTAGGCGCCGTTTGAGAATGCAACCTAAATAGTGTTTCACATAATTATTTTACTTAATTTTTTTTATTTTTAAATCGTTTTGATGTGCTAATGTTTAAAATAATTTTTTAAAATTTAAAAATTATTATTTTAATGTTTTTCCATGAGAAACAACACTTTAAAAAACAATTGATACTATATATTCATATACCTCATTAGAACAATATAATTAGAAAAGTAACCTTATAAAAAGAAAGAAAAAAAAATAGAAACTTTATGTTCAAGGGGTTTATAGTGATTTTGTTGTTTCGTTGCACAACTAAATAACGAAAATATCCCTAAAATAAAAAAAATAAAATTGTCTTACAAGGTTTTTACATCAATTTTTTGTTATTTTTAAGAGAAATTAGGAGTATATTTATATTTTAATAATATAAAATATTTTAAAAAAATTGTTGCCACATACAATTAGAGGTTTTTCTATATTTTAATAATATAAAATATAGTATGTGCGGTACATATAGGCAATGAATGGTTGCATCATTATCGGTGACAGTTTTTCTTCCTTTTTTTTTGTCTTTTTCCTCTCTTCTCACCCTAAAATGTACACCTTGGTCTTTTTTGGTTTTGGTATTTAAAATCTAGTCTTTATTTTCTTCATTTTTTATTTTTGTTTTTGGCTTTTCTATTAAATTTTTGTTTGTTTTCAATATAGTCCTTTAATTACAATTTCTCATATGTTATGTCTTCTAATTTGACCCTTTTGTTTTTCATTTTTTTATTAACTTTTCTATTCTTATTTTTTTCAATTTCAACATTCAATCAAAGTTCATGCTGCATTTTTTTTTTAATTTGATCATTATTTTTTTATTTTCTCCTTGTGTTAAAGTCATTTTACTTTCAATTCAACCTTTCAATAAAAATAATTTGGTTGCCCTTTAATTTTTATTTTAATTGTAGCCTCATTATTTTAATTGCAATTTTTTATTTTATATCTTTTCATGTAATTTTTTTCCTATATAATTTTTTAGTGTTTAATTTGTTAATGATTAGGCTTTTCAAGTTTTTTATTCATGGTGCTTCTAATATAATGTTCCAAGTCATATGTTTGAAAGTTAATTCGGATCAATTTTTTTTGTCTCATTTTATTTTTAATTTCATTAGTTAACATTATTTGTTTTTTAAATATTGGGGCTATAACCCAAGTTGTCTAGCTTTTTTTTACATGTATTTTTTAAAATATTTTTTAATTTATGCTTCAATTAATTTTTATTCTCCATGACTTTATTTTATTTTTCGCTTATTTAACCTCTTTTAATAGAGGTTTTATCTTAGTTATTTTTATGTTTTTTTAAATATTATTATTGTTCATCTATAAAAAACTTTTATCTTTTATTTAGATTAATTTAAAAAAAATAAAAAATATTTATAATATGTGCAAATTTATGTAAATGTTTTTTTTTCTCCTGTCTTATTCAATCAATTTCATGTGCTTATTTGTTTATATTATCATTTGATTGAATAAAAAATTTATTTTGATAAATAAATTCAGCAAATATAATTGAGTAAACATTCAATATTACGAGATCAATTATTTCAATTTATATTTTTCTATCAAGTTTTTTTAGTTTTGTTTTCGGTTAATATTAATGGCTTTTTATTTTCTCATTTATTCAAGTAGATGGTTCATGGTTTATTTTGTCAAATGCTTGTTTAGGCCTGTGGATTTATTGGAATAAAAAAAATTACTTTTCCTGTAATTTTAAATTTAAATCATGTAATTGTTAATATAATAATCGCTAAAACTTTATATAATTATTAATTTTAAAATCTATTAAATTAATTAAGATATTCATAAATTAGCTCAAACATCAAGATTAATAAATATTTAGAACCACAATTGTGATGCAAATCACGCCAAGCATGAACTGAGGCCACACCAGTAATAAAGAAATCCATCCGTAATATCCAGGAAAAGTCATGGTGGATGAATTAAGCTTATAAAACCAACAGAGTGGTATGTCCTAGCAGGAGCAGGAGCATATATATATATATATATTTCTCTGTTCAGGAAATTGTATTCTCTTAAAAAATATTTCTTTTTAATTAATTTTATATCAATCTAATTTATTTATTTTTTAAAATTTTAATCTTTAATCTTTAACATTAAATCTATTAGAATTAGTTATGAGTTTATCTCAATCTCATGATCTAAATTATGAGTTTAATAAGTTAATTTGATTTTTTTTATTTATTATATATTTTTCTTTTTAATTTCACCCTCAATAACACAATTCTTTTTAATATCATCTTACAATATTATGTTGTTTCAAAATTATTCTTTATAATTCCTTTTAATTTATTTTTGTAGAGTTATCCTAGTATCATGAATTTATTTTTATTTTTTATTTTTAATCTTTAATATTAGATTCATTATAAATAAAACTTCATAGTTTTATTTTATAAAGTTATTATAATATTAGTTGTGAATTTAATAAGTTATTATAATCTTAGTCGTGAATTTAATAAGTTAGCTTAATTTTTTTCTTGTCCTAGAAGAATCATGTTATGAGAAATAATATTTAACATTATAAAAATAAAATTTACTTTTATTTTTTTAATTTCAACATTTTAACATTAGATCAATTAAAAAAATTATTTTTTTAATTTTTTTATAAAGTTATTTTAGTCATCCAATCTAAATCGAGAATTTAACATACTAGCTAAGTTTATTTTTTTATTTTAACCAAAGAATCATACTACATTATTATGCAAAACATAGTTTTGAAACTTGACCAGGCCCAATAGATCGATTCAGGACTTGAATTAAAAAAATAAAGAAAAAAAAATTCGATGTGACCTCATGGGTTGATCTCCAGTAAAAACCCTGGTTGTAATCCATTAACTTGTTTTTACTAAAATAATATTATTTTAATTTAAAAAAATTAACTTAAACAATCCAATGAACATATCAAAACCTAAAATCTGTACTGGGTATAAAAACTATGTATTGTTCCAAGCCACATCTATATTTTTTGCCTGGATTCTATCTGATCTGGTCTCGAGCCCGATGACACTAGTTTCCTCACTTGAAACTAAAAAATCAAGTTGCAAAACTCCAGATGCAACAACATCAGCTCAATTGCCATATTTGCCATATTTGGTTAAAAAATTGCTAAGCAAAACAAAAAGAAAAAGAAAACCTGTATTAACAATGGAAAACTACAGAATCACTGCTTAATCACAAACAATGAAACAATCTAACTCCGCAATTAAATAGCAATTCAATCACTAGAGAGGACACATTCAGAAATTGCTTTTGATTTGTGGGTCACGGAAATGTGACTTGGTTTCTAATTCTGCTAGAGCGCCTAACTGGAGTGATCACCTCTTCATCTTCAATTCCCTTCAAAACCAAAAAAGAAAGACACACATAAGATAAAAAAAAATTCAAGTTATAGCTATAAATGTACACAACACAAGCATAAATGGACAGTTGGATCTTACATGCTTGCTAATCTTTTCATACGTGGTGAAACTGCCGTAAGAAGGCGAACCCATGGAGCCAACAGAGTAATCCGGCGAAGCCATGAATTCTCTCCTGTAAATGTTCTTCCTAGGCTTCCTCTCACAGCTATGAGCTTCACTTGTACCCCCCTGTCCTTTCTTGCTGTAGGACAAGCTGAAACTGCTCATTTCCGATGGGCATAACTCTCCAACAATGTCTGTATGTTCTGCTGCAACTGGCAATGGGCTATCATCCAGTTTCTTAGTGGCTGGCATTTGATCCACTGCAGATGCAGCATATCGAGTTGTGGGGGTTTGACTTTTCATATAAACGAAGGCTGTTCCAAGTAGACTGAAAACAATCAAGGAAATTCCCACCATTATCTGTGCTGGGCGTGCGTTCACTAATTCTGAACTCCGTAGATTTTCTGTTTCAGAACCTGCAAGTATTTCAAAATTGACCTCTGATGCAGGGGACACAATACCTGCAGTACTAATATCATTTATACCTTGAGATGGCATGGAATTCAAGATTTCTTGTTGAATTTCTGCAGCCTGTGGGATCAGAACAGACTGGTCTTCAAGGACCATGTTACTTTGAAGCTCCAAAACGTTGGCAGCAGTTTCAGCACTTTCTTGGATGACTTCTTGTGCTGACTTACCAGTTTCAGTCACCCCAGATCCGGGGCGCAGATTTGCTACTTCAGACTCGGGAACAGTAAACTCTTCAGAATCCGGAGCACTATCAAAATCCCAATCATTTTTATCTCCTACGACTTCAATGTTCTCCTCAAATGCACTTGGTTGATCTTCTTCATCCGACAGATTAATGTTGACCTCTGCCCCCTTTATGGACTCGGGAGCACTAAACTCTTCAGAATCCGGAGCGCTATTAAAATCCCATTCATTTTTATCTCCTACGAATTCAATGTTCTCGTCAACTGCCCTTGGTTGATCTTCTTCATCCGCTAGATTAATGTTGACCTCTGCCCCCTTTATGGACTCCAAAACTTTCTCTTCATACTTAACTTTCGATCTTAAAATGCTCTGGTCAAATACAAATTGACTATCAACTATGTCATCCTTGAGCAAAACGGTCAAATTAGCATACTGAAAAGGACCCAAAATGTGCACGCCTCTGAAGCAGTTTATCAGATTATGCGTGTAACACAGAGACTGATGTAGCCAAAGCTGGACCTTTTGAGCTAGAACATCAAAAGTTTGCCTGTTATACTCTGAGAATTCAGGTGGGACATATGGCTCGAAAAAGGTGAAGTTATTGAGCACAGAAGTATCCATGACTTGGGATTTAGAAACTGAAACATATAAAAATCCAACAGTCAGGACCGAAAGCAAAGCGATGAACTTTCTTCTTGTATAGAAACGTGATTTAGGCACCCTTTTCTCTTCAGCGTTCTCCACAGAAGTACCAATGGAATTGGGTTCAGATACAAGTAGCTCCTCCTCCTCAACATAAGTACCAATGGAAATGGGCTCGGATGCTAGCAGCAACTCTTCCAACTCCTCTTGTTCTTTCACCTCATCACTTGAAGAAGCATCCGATTCTTTCTCCTCATCAGCCAAAGAAGCATCCGATTCTTTCCGTGAATCATCAGAGTGACTGTCTTCTGCTTCACTAACTTCAGTTTCCGAAGAGCACCCAGATGCAAAGATCTCCTCAAGTGGTTGGCCATCTCTTTCCTTGTTTAGATAAAGCTCAATTCTAGGGTTGGGCCTATAACGAAGAAACTGAGGCCTTGGTGAGAGGTAATTAGTCTTAGGATCATAAGTAGGCACTGATGGATCTGCATCAAGAGGTGCCAAAGCAGGGTTTGGAAATGAAGAAGAAACCCTTGGACTAATCTCAAAACTTGGATCAAGATTAACACAATCCTTCTCCATAGTTAGGTTCTCTGATGACATGTCCAAATCATCTTTAGAACTCGAATCTACCATTAAATCAACATGTTCCTCACTTTTGGAATCCTCATTGTCTCCCAAGTAAGTGACTGTTGAACCAAACGAGACCTCCTTCTTCTGATTCAAACCCTTGTTCGGCTTTGAGTACAAGTCTTCAATCAAATCATCTTTAGAATGCGAATCTACCATTAAATCAACATGTTCCTCACTTTTGGAATCCTCATTGTCACCCAAGTAAGTGACTGTTGAATCAAACGAGACCTCCTTCTTCTGATTCAAACCCTTGCTCGGCTTTGAGTATAAGTCTTCCGTCAAAGGGCTTTTAGTATCAGAAAACGAGATTGAAGTGCGAATTTGCTCATTCCAGTCTGCCAAGATTTTCTTTCTTGGAGATGCATTAATTTTTGAAGCTGCAGAAATTGTTGGAGACATGAAATTCTTTGCACCACCCTTTGCTGGTGAACGTATTCGCACTGATTTCCAATTCTGGTCTTTACCATTTTCTTTGTCCTCGTGACCAGGCAAAGCAACTACTATATTTTCTCTGCTAATGGAGTTTCTTCGAGGATAATCTGCAAAAAAAGAAATTCCTAGGCTGTTAAACACAGAAAGGGATTTTAACAGAACCAATAAAGCAATTCCAAGGCTGCTGAAGACAAAAAGGGAACTGGATTGTAACATTTTGTACTTTATGATTAACTGGATTGTAACATTTTGTACTTTATAATTTTAACAGCAACTATTGGTTTCAAGTACACTTACTTCAGCGTAACATTAACATGAAGCTACAGAGTTCACTCTAAGACACCCAACATATTAGATTGCAAAATTGACGTACGAACAAGTTTCCAGCAACAAAACAAAAACGTTCATAAATGAAATACTTAATTGCTAGACCAGGAATCAACAAGCCATTAAGCCATCATTATGTCAAAACCTCATACAAGCAAGCACCTAATGCAACGATTTTCTATCCTTTCCCTTACTTCCCCACATTTTCTTGTAAACCAATCAAACCATAAACAAACATAAAACCCGACAAGCTATTTTCAAACAAAAATTAGAATAAAAACAGAGCCCAACTCAATTATAGAAAAGATGAAACAAAACCCAATAAAAATATAGTAATCGTTTATTAACCGCCAAAAAGAAAAAAAGAAAAGAAAAGAAATCAAACCTGAAGGAGTATTAACAGGCGTGTTGGGGTTAAAGCCTCCTGCTCCTCTTTGATTGGAAATAATAGAGGGTTTGACAAATGGGCTTCCACTGAAACTCCTTCTCATTGGATTACTAATCTCTGAGTTTCTTGAACCAGGATTGGTTGGTCTGCTTGGTATCGGAGAGCGAGAATCCAACTTCTTGCTTGCAGCCATGGATTCTTTAGCCAAAGTACTGATTACGGGTAAATATTGACTGATTTCTTGAATTGAGTGTCGAAAAGTAATCTGTTTAATGTTATGGATCTGATTTGAGATAGAGATAGAGAGAGAGAGAGAGAGAGAGTTTGTTGAGAGGGAAGGGAGAATGATGGCAACGGCTAGTTTTGGAAATAACTTGGGGGATTTAAATATAGTTGGGGGTTGTTGACCGTTGGAGGAATGGGATTTGAATAGTGAGGGCAAAAAGGCAGAACCGTTAGACTTTAGCGGGATTGTGATTTTTATAGCTTGGATTTGTAGCCGTTAAGAAACGAGGATCTACTTTGCTTGGTTTAATTACTGTATGGAAGCATGGAATATGGATCATGGAAAGTCCATTTTCAATAAGGTAAATACGGGTTTCACTCTGAAATTCGATTTATTTTTTTATTTGCCGGTCTCTCCGATTCCGATTCCGATTCCGATTATAGTTTTAAATTTCAAAATAAAGTTTATATTGGAAGATATAAAAGAAGATTAAATACTTTGAGAAAGTCAATTTGATTTTAAATAACAAAGTATTTTCAAGTTTGTGACTCCTATATCAATATTAAATACATGTTCGTTGGTTTTTAGATATTAGTAGCCTCGACACCTGCATTTCACCGCAGTTAAAATATCAAAATGGTGTAAAAAAATATAAAATAATTAATCTTGGTCAACATAAATTAACATGACAAACTTATAATTATGGTGATTAGAGTCGTGCTAACCTGAAATATCTTGCTAGATTCGTGGTTTAAATAATAAGATTGAAATAATCATACAAAAAAATAAAAAGGATTATAAAGTAATGTTAACTTTTCAAACTTGTAACCCATATCATTAAGCTCAAAGCATCCAATATAGACAAACCATAAAATTTAATTTTCAATCAATTAAATATTAAATGATGAAAATAAAAAAAATTAATTATATAAAAAATTAAAAAAAATAGCAATTAAAAGAATGAGTATCAAAATTTAAAAATAAAATAGATTCTATATTTGATTGATAGGTGAAATTGAAAAGAAAAGTAAAGGAAGAAAAAAATAAAAAGAAATAGGATCAAAATTGACATAAAAATAAAAACAATATTTTGATTGAAGGATAAAATTGAAAAGAATAATGACTTTTATAAAAAGACCAAAAAAAAGTAAAAATAAAAAGAGGATCAAATTAAAAAACATAATACCATTTCTCATGTTGTGCATGATGTTAAATGACAGATCTGTCTTTTAGTTCGAGAGGGTTTTGAACATGTTAGGAATAACCATAAAATTATAAGTTGAACGATTGAGGAGTCATTATCTATTATTATAGTTACCAAGAAACCTGCTGATTTGTAAGAATTTGGATAAGGAGATTAATTGTATATAGAGAAAACGCATCACCCACAATACATCCTATCTACTGTAATCTAATTATTGATTGATTTTTTTTTTAAGTCATGCTTCTATTTATTAGTTTATCTATGATTTAAGACATATTCCTCTCAGTAAGGAGATCTCTGCCTTATCAAGCTAAAACCTAACTATTATAAGGTATGGATTTTAATGTTGTATCTATTTTTATTTTGTATATTTAATACCTGAGAATAAACTTTACAATGTAACTTTATTCCCTCAAATATTAAAGTCTATAATTAATTCTAAATATTTAATTTTTTAAAATTTATTTAATTTAATATCAAGAATATATATTATGTTGTAAAATTCATACCCCAAATATTAATTAAACAAATTAATTTTTGTAGTATTTTTAAAATTTTAGTCAAATACGAATAGATAATTATAAACTTGTTATGATACTCATTGATTGATTTTTGTATTTTTAAAAGCATGATAAAAATGACTTTTTTGTATTTTTTAAATAAAAACAACAAGTATTTTTAATATTAGGTAAATATCTTATACTGTAAGTCTAAAGCCTAGATATTAAATGAAATGGTTGGAAAACAAGCAAGAAACCTACAAATAATTTTAAAATGGTCCTTGGATTGTTTCATAATTTCTGGGCAGTATTTGAGTTTTGTTTGAAAAAGGCACAAAAAAATAAAAAGCATTGCTGGAAAATCAATAGGACATGTTTGTCAAATATGTACTTAACTAAAAAATTAGAGGTTTAAAGAAAATGCTTTAAAATTGTGATTGACAAATATGCCATAAAAACAAAATATTGTTTTTTTAGAAAAAAAAACTCATCCAAACACTGTCTTATTAAAAATAGACTCAACCTAGCTACTCGGTTAAGGCTTCCTAACCGTAAATTTCCTTTTTTAGAGAGAGGGCCAACCTAGTTATATGGGCTGGCCTATGTCCAATTTGGCCAGCAAAATGACCTATAGTAATTAAAAAAAACTTAGCATTTAATCTAACATATTATAGCCAATTGCCTATCTTAGCTTGTGCCCATTCACTATTTATACATTATTAATTATAATTAAAACTTATCAGTGTTTTACTAAAACACGGGCTACTGTGTAATGTAAGTGCTTTTATTATGGACTGCACTAATTAGTCTGGGCATATATGACGTTGTAACCAGAAAACCCTAAGCTCCAGGTTGGAGGCACGCCTCTTCGGGCTGCAGACACCTGATGCTTGGTTGATAAGCCTGGATGCTGGGTAGGCCACGTCCACTAACCGTGCCCCAGGCTGTAGTAACCTAGCACTCGATCTGTCCTGCCTTGGGCATATAGGCATGGTGCTTGGCAGGCCAAGTGCACGTGTGGGGCTTGGGTTAACTGCTAGTGTGCTGGGTAGATTAAGTGCACACGTGGCACTTTGGTTAATGTCTTTATGAGAAATATTATTATTTAAAATTTATCAATTATTTTATTAATAATATTAAATATAATAAAAATAATAAGTGATAATATTTTTAATATTCATACTATTAATTATAATAAAAGTAATAATACTTATAACATAAATAATACTATTTTTTATATAAAAATTTAGAATTATAATAAAAATGATGATTATAACACAAATAATAATATTTTTTATCTCAATACCTTGAGTTATAATAAAAATAATAATATGTATAACACAAATAATGATATTTTTATATGAACACTTTGAATTATAAGATAAATAATAATATTTAAGACACATGTTATTATATTAGAAAAACCAGCATGCGGTTGGGCGGGGACATGTCGAGGTCCAACATGAAGGTGGACGTGGTGGAGTCTCGCCCAACATAGAGTTTGGTGTGGACGCAGTAAGTCCAACATGGAGTTGGCCGCGGTCGCGTCTATACCCAACGTGGGGTTGGACGTGAAAATGTCCAGGCCCAATATAAAGGTGGTCGCGATGGCATCTAGATCCAACCTGGAGGTGTTAATATTAAAAATATTATTATTTGTGTTATAAATATTACTATTTCTATTATAGTTCAAAGCATTAATATAAAAAATATTATTATTTACGGTA